TACTTGACTGTCCACAACAGGACAAAGTTATCACAAAGGTATCTACTTGACTGTCCACAACAGGACAAAGTTATCACAAAGGTATCTACTTGACTGTCCACAACAGGACAAAGTTATCACAAAGGTATCTACTGGACTGTCCACAACTGGACAAAGTTATCACAAAGGTATCTACTGGATTGTCCACAACTGGACAAAAAACTTTGAGAACATTCCGGCTCTTGAATGTGGACCAAAGGGACAATCCCACAGATTGCTGAAAAGTAACAACAACAACAACAAACAACAACAACAACAACAACAACAACAACAACAACAACAACAACAACTGCAACAACAACAACAACAGCAACAACAACAACAACAACAATGACAACAACAACAACAAAAACAACAACAACAATGACAACAACAACAACAACCTCATTCCAACTCCAGGGGACATAACATAATGAAATCAAAGAAATCTGCATTTTTTTAGCTGTATGATGCGCAATTTTTTTTCTAATTTTCATTTTTTGGCTCAACACCTTTTGTGTTTATTTAAAAACATATTTGCGAGTGGATTTTACTGAAAAACATTGATGATAAACCGAAAAAAAAACCATTGTAAATTTTCAGTTACCAAAGACTCTCAGGCGATAGAAGTTACCAAACTCTGGCGGCCATTTTACTTCTGAAACCAGACATGAGCAGTGGCCTCCTTCAATGGCAAATATCTCGACTTCTATTCAACATCTATGGATATTTTTGGATCAAAAGGAAGGCAAACGAACAGGCTTTAAGGTAATACCGATAACCCCATGTGCCCAAAAATTGACGAGCGCCTGATTCCACCACATCCCGACACATTTTTACAAAACAAAAGTCACCCCTAAAGATCCTGTGCTGATTCACACTAATGGTCTACATTTGGCGAAGATTTCTCATTTCAGATCCTAATTTGCAGCCGAGAGAGAAACGATGCTGTCAGTAGATGTGTTATAGACGCGTGTTAGACGCATATTATAAAATCTTTTCAATATGTTATTAAGAAATGGTTCAATGTCGGTTTTCTGATGGAACTAAATTTTTTACCACGTAGAATTTTTGGGCCTTTTCAGCGTGTTGCTCAAAAATAGCTTTTCCAACAACTGGGGCCGTTCTTCAGACGTTCCCACTAATGGAAGGGTCAAAATGAAATTGTTTTTGAGAAAAAGCAGAATCTTTTTCTGTACACTTAACTCACCTGTGAATGAACTACACTTAACTCACCTGTGTGAATGAGCTACACTTAACTCACCTGTGTGGATGAGCTACACTTAAGTCACCTGTGTGAATGAGCTACACTTAACTCACCTGTGAATGAGCTACACTTAACTCACCTGTGTGGATGAGCTACACTTAACTCACCTGTGGATGAGCTACACTGACCTCACCTGTGTGAATGAGCTACGCTTAACTCACCTGTGAATGAGCTACACTTAACTCACCTGTGTGGATGAGCTACACTTAACTCACCTGTGTGAATGAGCTACACTTAACTCACCTGTGAATGGGCTACACTTAACTCACCTGTGTGAATGAGCTACGCTTAACTCACCTGTGAATGAGCTACACTTAACTCACCTGTGTGGATGAGCTACACTTAACTCACCTGTGTGGATGAGCTACACTTAACTCACCTGTGTGGATGAGCTACACTTAACTCGCCTGTGGATGAGCTACACTTAACTCACCTGTGAATGAGCTACACTTAACTCACCTGTGAATGAGCTACACTTAACTCACCTGTGGATGAGCTACACTTAACTCACCTGTGGATGAGCTACACTTAACTCACCTGTGTGGATGAGCTACACTTAACTCACCTGTGTGGATGAGCTACACTTAACTCACCTGTGAATGAGCTACACTTAACTCACCTGTGTGAATGAGCTACACTTAACTCACCTGTGTGGATGAGCTACACTTAACTCACCTGTGGATGAGCTACACTTAACTCACCTGTGAATGAGCTACACTTAATTCACCTGTGGATGAGCTACACTTAACTCACCTGTGGATGAGCTACACTTAACTCACCTGTGGATGAGCTACACTTAACTCACCTGTGGATGAGCCGGTTTGTTTCAAATACGTAGAAAACTTCCACAGGGCTATTCTGAAACAAAGCAAAACAAAAAAAAGAAAAACATCAAAAGGGAAAATGAATAGATGTGAAGTAGGTCAACTTTTGAAGATAAACGGAAAAATCGTGTATAGATATCTATATATATCCATTCAAATAAATGATTGCACAAGACAAAATAAAGAGACATATCCCGACTCAGAGGGGCAGGGAGAATGTGGGAAGGGGGGGAGGGGGGGGACAGAAGAAAGTCAGAGAACTAGTGAAAGAGAGAGAGAGCGCAGAGAAAAAGAGACAGAGAGTTAGAGAGAGACAGAGAGAGAGAGAGAGAGAGAGAGAGAGAGAGAGAGAGAGAGAGAGAGAGAGAGAGAGAGAGAGAGAGAGCGAGCGAAAGAAAGAAAAAGAGTCAGACAGAATACTCAGAGAGAGAGACAGACACATAGAGAGACAGAGAGAGAGAGAAAGAGAGAGACAGTCATATAAAGAGAGAGAAAGATAGAGAGACAGAGAGCGAGAGAGAGACAAAGAGAGAGAGACAGAGAGACAACTACAGTATAATCCACTTTTATGGACATGTATTGACATTTTGACATTCGACATATTTTCCAATTACCAAATTTTTCCTTCAATATCTTCACTGAACAATTTCTCTTATTTAGACTTTTTTTTCCCGGCCCACTCTGCTTTACCGACAGGCTTCCTGAGTACCTGGCGAAGCCCATGAACATAAATAGAGAAAAAGTCAGGCTAACGGTCAAGGCATTAGTTCTTCATCAAGTCCACATACCCGCCAAGTAGCCTATTGGACACAGCAGGCTTTAGTAGGTCATGTAGGGCCTACACAGTGTAGTCTCCAACACAGTACACTGCCTCACAGACGGGAGCGTCTCGCGCGCTGGGCATCACCTCCCTACCCCCACTCCCCTCCCTACCCCCACTCCCTTCACAGTGTAGTCTTCAACATAGTACAGCCAGCCAGCGGCCACAAACAGGCCTGACAAGGATGCAACAACAAAGTTTGCGCGTGTGTGTAGTGTGTAGTGTGTAGTGTGCGCCTCGCGTTGCTTGGTCTGTGGTACAGTACTCCACCCCCACCCCACCCTCTCCCCTCTGCCTCTAGTCAGTTTCACTGTGCAGTTGTGTGAGAATCAAGGGAAGCAACTAACTTTAAAGAGAGGTATTGTCTTTTTACCACTGACCTCCCCTTGTTTTGCCTCTTTGACTTTACATTTTCATTTATCGACAATTTTATATATTGACATCAAATCCACTTCCCAGAGCATGTCGATATAAGCGGATTATACTGCAGTTCAGGTGTACACTTTTCTCTCAACAAACAGATGCAACAACGTGAGATTGTGCGCACCGCTGGCCTGATCTTGGAGACGACGTAGGTGAAGTAGACAGATGCGGTGGCTCGGGGGATGGGCTTCCTGCGGGTGGGGACGCTCCAGCGCACCCGGTACGTGTAGCGTTTGTCAAACTCGTTGTCGTCTTCGCTGAGGAAGTCGACGCAGTACAGCCACGAGTTCTCGTACTTCCACGTCTGAAAAGAAGGAATTTACGGCTGGACATTTTCCTACACAGTGTAACAGAGCAAGCACAATAGATTTGTTTGATAAGTTCCCAAGATCTCTCCGGAAACAGACACCCCCCCCCCATGACCTAGACGCCCTGAGCTACAAGTCCAAGGATTCCGACAGATGGATGAGTGGGGCCGGCAAAGACTGCCGCCAGAGTACTAGATGGCAGGCCTCCAGGGGTTGAGCAGTTATTGGCAAAGAGCCCCAAGGTTCTCTCTGATACATCGCCGAGGTATCCAGTTGCTAGAAGGTGGAACTTATTGATGGAACAAATACTTGCTGAGTGTAGAATCTACTGTACAAAGATTTGCTATGTGTAGAATCTATACTGTACAAAGATTTGCTATGTGTAGAATCTATACTGTACAAAGATTTGCTATGTGTAGAATCTATACTGTACAAAGATTTGCTATGTGTAGAATCTATACTGTACAAAAATTTGCTATGTGTAGAATCTATACTGTACAAAGATTTGCTATGTGTAGAATCTATACTGTACAAAGATTTGCTAAGTGTAGAATCTACTGTACAAAAATTTGCTCAAAGTAAAAAAAAAACTGTCCCAAGGGTTCAAAAGTCCTAAAAAAGGTGTAAGATTATAATTGAACCGCCCCTTATCTTATCTTATCTCTCTCTAATGAAATTACCAAATCGACTCCACTGTACCCCTGAAATACCTTGATAAACTCAAGGATCTTCTCTCTTCCAATACCTTGATAAACTTATGGACTGTCTCCCTTGCAATACCTTGATAAACTCATGGATCTTCTCTCTTCCAATACCTTGATAAACTCATGGATCTTCTCCCTTGCAATACCTTGATGAACTTATGGATTGTCTCCCTTGCAATACCTTGATGAACTTATGGATTGTCTCCCTTGCAATACCTTGATAAACTCATGGATCTTCTCCCTTGCAATACCTTGATAAACTCATGGATCGTCTCCCTT